ACCAGTGAACTAGTATGTAACAATATGAGCTTGCTGAATCCAAACAGACTCACAACTCGAATCGTTAAAACCAGATAACGCGTGGTTGTAAACCCGATAGCGGTTGTGAAATCAACCTCGCTACCAATGACAGGGGCTGGGCAAAACAGGCTCAGGCCTACTGATCCTGATACCGCCGTAGTAGAGACTGATACACGATAGTGGTCTGCTAGCTATCAATACCTTGTCGAGTCTATTCTACTCATTTCTCTTCAATGCCATCAAAATTGGACATGATTTTGTTCGTAAAAGCCATGAGTATATCTATGCAGACGTCTACCTTACCGCTCACTGGCAGTGGTGATAAGATACTGACCTTCGATCGTAGGGACCTGGACATCAGAGCATTCACTTAAGGATAGAGTAGTAGAGGAATGTGTAGAGAAACGGCCAGGCACACAGTGTTGGTCGATGGCGCACCAACAGGTCATGGTTGATACCATGAACAGCCAGCTAAGTGGCAAAAGCGGGAATAGTGAAATAGAGTATAAAGGCTGTAAGATTAAGAATGATCCCACGCATACCTCGTGAAATATAAGCCAGTCATGTAGCTTGTTCATGATGATCGTTAAAAATACTCCGAAACCACAGCGCCATTCTAATAAAGTCTAAGATGAAGAGAAGCACAAGCACAGCCCATGGGTAGGGAGGGTGCTTAAACGAGCGAAGGGAAGAGAAGTGAAGTGAGGGAATAGTGCCTGGCCTAGATACATGGAATCATTGCAACGTGAGTTGCGGTTCCAAGTTGGAGAACGAGAGAAAGAAAACATGATGTACCAGTAACGTTGAGAAGCTGTAATACACAGCCATTTGTCGCTGTGTAGCCTACCAACGACGACTATTCTGATATTAGCTTTGACTGCCTACACATACATACACGGGGCATCACAAGTACATACCTATACGCTGAATCGAGCTTCGCTTGTCGCCGTTTTGGCTTGAGCCCTGACATGGACGACTTCGGCCGTGGAGATCCTTCGGGAGTCTTTGCTTTAGTATCTATTCCCAGCAACTCGGCTTCCAAGGAATCCAATCCTGAAGATGCAGCAGATACTACTGATGAGTCGCGTGACGTTGGGGTTCGATTGCGGCGACGGCTGCGACTAGGACTGCGGCTGCGATTTCGACTCCGACTTCGACTCCGGCTCCGACTGCGGTCTCGACTGCGACTTCGAGTACGACTCCGGCGACGTCCACGACCACGGCTATGATCTCGATCCCGATCGGGTTGGTACCGGTCTATCGATCGTCGCTGGTCGTCGACGTTACGGAATTCTGCAGGTCGACGTTCGGGACTACCTGGACGTGACCTGCGTCCTTGCGGAACGTACGAATCACGCGAGCGCGAATGCCGGCCCCGTGATCCTCTGCGGCCGGCGTCGAAGGAGCTTCGGGATCTTTGTCTCTTCACTGGACGCTCACCAGGGGTATCGTCATCTGGGTGACCTCGTTTTGCGAGTCGCTCATTGACCTCGCCACTTTCGGAGCTTTCGCTCCGAACGATCTCCTCAAGTTTTGTTGGTGGTCTTGGCGGGAGACTGGCAATGGGATGTCCGCTAGGGAGCTTGCCGTATCGCACGAACGCGGGGTCGTGTTCGATCTTTGACCAATACGGAGTTTCGTGTAGCGGCTTCACGTATTCCTCAATATTGTCAGCTTGAACATAGTCCGACACGATGCATTTTGCATCCCATTTTCTAGGAAGAAGCACCTCATCATTATATTCTGCAGGCAATGGCTTACCAACCTCATCTGGTGGATGACGTGGCTCTGGCTCTGCGAATATGGCTTTCTTGTCCCATTCAAATTCATCGTCGACAGCCTTTTCGGGTGCTGTATCCGGTCTCTGTGATGAATCAGGTTTAGGAGTTTCAACTTGAACCTTTTTAGTTTCAGGAGAAGCAGCAGGTGGACTTGACTTTAATTTAACGGCAGTTGTTGAGCCTTTTTGATCCCCCTGTTTAGGAGACGGCGCAGGTTTAGGATGGTTGGGCGTCTTGGGATCAGGGCGTCTGTTGTTGTTGTTGTTGTTGTCTTGTGGCCTCTGATCCGGCCGAGAATGAGGCTGGTTCTTCTTTTGTCGATTATCGTGATTACGAGAGTGTCGGTCGTTCTTCCGCTTGTTACGATGGTCTCGAGAATGGTCAGGAAAGTCCCGTCGTCCCCTACCAGGTTGACCATGCTGATTGGGCTGATTGGGCTGTGGTGGTTTAGGGGGTAGAGAGGGTTTAGGGGGCAAAGAAGCTGGCAAGGGTAATGTCGATGCAGAATTCTGGCGTGGTACTGAGGACGAAGCTGGTCGATGTGGACGTGATGCAGAAGGCGGTGCTGGTGACGGGATAGGGGGCCGCGAAGGTGGAGGGTGCCCGTATGACGGAGGCGCGCTGTGAGAGGGATAAGGGGGCGGGTATGATGGTGGCGGTGGATGCTGAGCATATGGTGCTGAAGCTGGCGGTGGATAATGGGGATAATGAGGCTGCGGAGGGTAGGGTACGTGGTCTTGGCGAGGCGGAGGACCATATGCGCGTGGTGGATATGGAGGTGGATGCGCTGGGGGTTGAGGAGGAGGCGGAGGAGAAGCATATGTGCTAGGAGGCCTGGGAGGTGGTGCCGGAAGACCTGGTGGAGGACCACCATAAGAAGGTGGAGGATACGGGTTAGAGTAGCCTGGAGGTGAGTAGCCAGGTGGTGCGTAGTTGGATGCTGAGGACCCGTAAGGAGGGTACTGCGGAGGATAGGAGGGAGGTCCTCCTGGGTAGTGTGTAGGTGGAGGAGGACCATATCCTGGAGGAGGACCGTATCGAGCCACGCTTGGTGTTGACGCTGGCACAGGCGCAGGTGCGTATTTGGTAATGATGGGACCTTTGGACTTTTTGGAACCACCATGGTCTCTATTACCTCCGTGCCCAGGAGCGTTGGCGTTTCTCCAAGCTGCGAGACCACTATTGTCGAGTTAATACGTGAAAGCATAAACTATGGAGGCAAACTGAGTGAGCTTGATACTTACGCAGGAGTCTCCCTGGTTGGTTCTGGACATGCAACAGTCCAATGGCCAGCATCACCACAGTTGTAGCATCTGGCGTCGTCTGGCCGCGACTGGCCAGGAGCCGTATTAGACATGACTGGTGTAGGAAAGCGTAGTTTGTGAAAGATGGCTTTGACCAGCACAGGACACTATCCTGTTGGCAAACAACGGCAAGAAAAACACAGACCAAATACCGCTGTGGTGTATATAATACTTGTGATGCTAGTTAAAGAAAAGCGACAGTGACTTGATCAGCAGAAAGTGAACGAGTTCAGGCGCGGACACGACCCGAGGGAAGGAAACAAGTTTGATGAAGCGGCCTGAGGCTGGGTTGAGTAACACTGTGATACGTCTCACAGCAGGGGCCTCGGCGCGACTGAGAGGCGAAGCGAGCGAGGCGACAGAGTCTGTGTTGGTGAGACTGAAAATATGGCTTGGGGATGTTACTGTTACAGCCCAAGCTCGTTGGTGCAAGTGCCCGCGCGCGGTCGCGACATGCGAAAGCGAAAAGAAAGCCCCCTCCCTGGACCTTCTCAGGTAAAATGTCAGAGGGGCTTCATCCAGAGAATATTTGGTGTGAAGGACCTAGAGAGAGAGGCTGGCGATGTCGAGTCGGTTGATTGATGACGGAGTCGAAATTGACTTGACGTTGAGAGCTGAAGCTCAAGTAACAGGATATTAATGGCGACGATAGTGATCCATTGGTGGATGGGCGATGCTGAAAGTGATGTCGCGTGCGCACGGGCCACTTTTGAGTAGAGGAAGGTTGAAACTGAAATAGACTTTGGGGGGCATTCCCGGCCGCTACAAATGGAATCAGGGCTCCTTCTTGGCATGCATTATTAGAGAAGAGCCCTATCAAGGAATGGATGGCAGTGTTGTATTGTCTCGTTATGGTCAATTTAGTACATTCTTCCACCAAGCTTCACTGTGTCTGTCCTAATTGTTGACCACTTACGACCTATTCACCCAAACTAGTAGTTACTGCATTCGCTTCGCTTACCCAGGATCATATTATAAGCTTATTGTTTCATGAAACTACAATCTCAATAATTGTCTAGACTCGTGTGCACACAGTAACCAGTTCTCAGGCATTTCTCATACCATGGTCAAAAGAATGGCTACTGCGAGAACTATAAGCTAGGTACATTACATACAATACCTAGCTCGTAAGAACCACTGATCTTCTCAAAGCACAATGCTTCATTGCCAATATCAGTAGCCATAGATTTCTATAATCATTGATGATCGCTGCAAACTGCTATCCTCAAACCTTGCTGACTATACCCGTCGTCCAGCCCAGCCTCACAAAGCATATATTGTATATTAATGAGCTTTATTATATCTAGTCAATCAGAGCATCATGGCTCGTTCTATACAAACGCATTGTCCAAATGTCGAGTATCTCCATCTTTGTAGTAGGTAGTCAAAGTGTGGGGAGATGACCGGGCTTTCTTCCCGCCGACGCACCGTCATCAGCGACGACTAAGCAAACCGTTTACCACCACCAACTACTGATGCACAGCTAAAACATCCCACCGCCCAAAAAGCACATACCACCCACCACCACTTCAACATCACCATCCTCCCGCTGTATATGTAATCACGGCCACGGTGCTACACGCAATTTGTCCTGTTTCATTGCATAGCGAGCCCTCAACTTTTCACCGCTCACGCACCCTTAATCACCAACGTCTTCGCCCTGCGCCCATGTGAACTGAACTGAACCACCTTGATCCCGATCATGTTGGTACAACCACCGAGTTCACCTCCAGACACCATCCTTGACAGGAGCCGAACCCAACACCTTCACCCTTAATGATACCGACGATCACCTACGATTCTCGAATTTCCACGATAATACACATTCAGTGACCCACCCACCAGCCACATCACCCCGTCCCGTCGGCATCTGCAGCAACGACCACATCCCAATATGCCTGGGCTACCTTGTAAGCGCCGCGCCGAAACGAAAGGCTTCCCAGTCTGACCTATCCTCCCCAGCATCCGTCGATCTCGACGAGTGCATCTCGCGCTTGTACAACAAGGAGTTGCTAGCCGAGTCTGTCATTGAAGCAGTCTGCGCCAAGACGAAAGAACTTCTTATGCGCGAGTCCAACGTCGTCCATGTTAAAGCGCCCATTACCGTCGTAGGCGATATTCACGGCCAGTTCTTCGACCTAATCGAGATTTTCCGCATCGGCGGCTACTGCCCCGACACAAACTATTTGTTCCTTGGTAATTGCTCGCCAAGTCAGATATCGACCATGGGAATATTTGCTGACCTCGGCGGGGTACAATAGGAGACTACGTTGATCGTGGTATGTTCAGTGTCGAAACGATATCGCTACTCGTTTGCTTGAAACTACGGTACCCTAATCGCGTACATCTTATTCGAGGAAATCATGAGTCGCGCGGTGTGACACAGTCGTATGGCTTCTATACAGAGTGCTCGCGCAAGTATGGCAATGCCAATGTGTGGCACTACTTTACAGACATGTTCGACTTCTTAACTTTGAGCGTTGTGATCAACGACCAAATATTTTGCGTCCACGGAGGTTGGCAGATTTTAAGCTTACAAACGTGGCTAAACTAACGCGATAAATCAGGCCTTTCCCCTTCTATCCATTCAATCGACCAGATCAAAATCATAGACCGTTTCCGTGAGATCCCTCATGAAGGCCCCATGGCTGATCTCGTCTGGTCTGATCCTGACCCTGAGCGCGACGAGTTCTCCCTTTCACCCCGCGGCGCGGGGTACACTTTTGGAGCACAGGTTGTTAAGAAATTCCTGGCTGTCAACAATATGTCGCATATCCTCCGCGCCCACCAGCTCTGCCAGGAGGGCTTCCAGGTGCTTTACGACGACCGTCTCAGCACTGTCTGGAGCGCGCCCAACTACTGCTACCGTTGCGGAAACATGGCCAGTGTTCTTGAAGTGAGTGACACGGGCGAGCGTTTCTTCAACGTTTTTGCGGCCGCGCCCGAGAACGATGTTCACAAGGACCTCCAACCCGGAAACGAAAAGTCTGCCGACGGTAATGCATTGCCAGACTACTTCTTATAGACGAATTTTGTCACGAATACACACATACAGTGCCCTGGAGCTTCAAAGCTCGGGCTTCACGATATTCCGCATCAATGATACCATGTCTTGAAAGCAAGCATTCACGCATTGCAACAGACAATAGACCTGCATTGCATAGCATAGACTTTGATGTATATAAGGATTTTTATTCTCCTTCAGCATTGAAGCTCCAAACCGAGCTCAAGTACTGTCTCGTCAGTGACGAGTAGATGATACGAAACAGAGCAACCACCTTTCTCCGGCCCAAATTGGGGGTTTCTTTTGCTTTATGTGAGTTTTTTTTTTTTGTGTGAAAATTCTTCTCCAATGTTCAGGTATCTCATTATCTCATGACGTGTGTGATATGTATTTTTGAGTTAGTTATGTCGTCGGGTTGCGCTATCAAGGTGTTGGTGTCTACCAGTCCTTGGCGATGTCGAAACTCCACTCAAACTCGAGATGCTTCTTCTTATCGTCGTCCACGAAGCTAGAGATGGCGTTGTAGTGACCACGAGCAAGCATGCCACTAGGTGCCTCCTCCTCTTGGACTGGGGCGAATCAGCAGCTAAATCTTGACCAAACTTTAAACATGAAACTTACACTTCTTGACGTAGGTGGGCTGCTTATCAGTGTTGGGAGCATAGCTGCCAATCATCTCAGAGTCCTTGGAGACTCGGATACCCTTTCGCTTGACGACCTGGACGTAGTGAAGACCGCTGAGAATCTCGTGCTGCACCTTGAACTTGGCGCTCATGGTGAACTTGGCACCCTCCTTGATGTTGAAAGGCTTGTCCTTGAGGGTGGTCTCGCTTCCGGGGGTAGAGAGATCGATGGTGACGGGAGGACGGCCAGGAGAGTCCATGGTCAGGGAGAGAATGATGCAGACTCGGGGGTCGTTGGGGTCGGAGATGTCAGTACCACCACCGAGACCGAGTGACTCCTTGTATCGCTGGAGAGACTCATCGCCGGCATCTGAAAAAAAATCCATGTTAGCTTTTGAGTAGGAAGAGCAATTGCAGTGGCTGGTGCGGTAAGTGGGCAAGGCGGAGACAGTCAATTCTAAGTGTTGGCTCAAATAGAATAGGCAGAATTGTCCTATAGCAATAACTGCAGCTACAGTATAGCTTCGACCACATCACACAGCAGAGGACAGGGCAGTATCTCAAGATCATGCCATGTCGGTGCCATGCTGCGAGACGGTGCCACATGCTCAGGGGCCGTGTGTTGTGCATATCGCAGAGCCTCACTAACGAGCCTACTGTACAGGTCGTCCAGGGAAGCGATTGTACCTACCCATCTGCTGGTACTCGGCCAGACTCTGCTTAGGCTGAGAGAGCTTGTAGCCCTGAGTCTCCTCAGGCATAGTATCGTCGTCGTGAGAAGCCATGGTGGATGAGCGGGGCGAAGCTGATGTGCAAGAGGCGGGGTGCTGAAGAAACGGAGGATGCTATAGCGAGGGTTCGATACCTAAGAAGATATCAGGTTAGGTAAGAAAGTTGGAGGTAAGAAAAAAGGGAGGAAGAGGAGAGGAAGGGAAGAGGAAAAAGAAGGAAGCTTACTCGTTAATCCCAGCCAAGGTCGAGTCGAGGTGAGCTTTGTCCCGGGCTTGCTTGGGCTTGGACTTGGTCCTTAGGTTGGGTCTGGGCGGGCTTTGGAGGGGCTTATGGCGGTGACGATAGAGGGGCTTCCCGTTCCCGCAGGCGGTGTTGCAACAGGTCGCAAGAGCTGGGCTGGGTTTGGGCTAGGCTAGGGGGAGGGCGGTCACTGAGCGAGGTTGCTATGGTGGGTCGGGACACTTTATGGGGGTCTCTGATTGGCTCATCACGGATCTCAGGTCAGAAATACGGAGAACAACGCCAATGGACGTTGCCGATTCTTATGGAGAATGCTTCGTTCAGGGGTTCAATGTGAGACTGGACCCGAAGATGAGGCTTATTTTGTGATAGTTAATGGCGGCTGTGGCTCTGAGTGTCTGGAGTCTTCAATGGAATGTTTGAGAAGGCGAGTAATGATACATTAAATAAAATGAGATTGCCTGTTGCCGTATCCATTGCTTAATGTAGCTTGAGGAATGGGCGGTGGTGACTGGGCTTTGGTTCGTGATCATATCAGATCAAAATCGATCGAGGGCATCGCGATTTGGGCTGTGAATAGATGAGGCTCGTATTCTGTTGGACCACCACCCTCCTCCTGTTAAGAAGTATGTTACTTGTTGACGCGGCCTTTATACAATCTCCTAAATTTGTTATTACATATAACTTTCGACTATAAATTTAGCGTTTTTTGTCACTTGATTTCATGGTCAAGGTTTTCAACAGTTTGATGTTCATCAGATGAAGAAGCATAGAATTCGTCTTGACATTGGGTGACAAAGATATCGACATTCATACTACCATCTCTGCTACAATGATAAACCTTCCAATAGCTCATTCCGATTTACGAAGCTCCTCCTGGCCAGATCATGGTACCTAATGATCTGAGCCTCCTCCAGGGTAGATTGATCTCTACTTGCTCAGAGTCGAGATAAGACAGTGATTTATAACCTGCAAGTCACCCAACTCTGAACGCGTGGACCAGTCGGCAATGGACCCATAAATCCACAAACCTCCGCGTTGCTGTCATGCAAGTGAATGCACGTCGACAGATTTGAGACATGAGTGGCAATACATGATAACGTAACTCAGTTATAGCCAGTCTCACAGGGCACTCCATGTAAGTCTCGCTTGTCACTACAGTACATGAGCAAGCCTGGCAAGCCAAACCTGGGGTTGAGACTCTGAAGCAGTGACCGGAACTACCTGAGCTGAGCCATTGATTAGCTTGAATTGCTTTTGGATGAATCCCTTATTCCCAGTCAAACTCTATTGAACGTTCTGAGGTCTGTTTTAGCTGTCAGATCTGGGCGATCAGCCGAGAAAAACACTGGTTCACAGAGCACAGCGTTACTGTGCTTGTTGACGCGCGATAAGTGACATGGTGCGTCGCCATTCGTCAGAGTCGCAGATGTTAGCAGCCCATCTGTCACCGAACCCAGCAGAGACGAGTGAGACTACTGTACCAACTGAGGTCACACCCATCCATTAGACATTGTCTTCTCCGTGACCTCAGCAGGTTAGCTCATCCAGCCCCATGCATGTCGTGTCTCGCTTCCATCTGAATCCCGTCTCATGGCGCAACCGCAATCGCAAATCTGAAAACCACAACCCGAACCCATGCGCATTTCCCCGCGTTCTGAAAAAGAACAAAGTCGCCTGTTCGCGCGCGCCGGGCACAGCGAGGTCCAGGGGGACCCTAGGGACTTGTTGGGGGTGTGGTTCACCCTGAAGATCGACGACTTTGGTTGGCGCTGGACCTGTTGGGCTGGTTGCTAGGGGCGGCAGAAGAATTGCTGGCTGGCTCTAGAACAGAGTTTCCCCACGTGCACTCCTGGCTAAGTTAGTAGCAGAAGTTGAAGTTGAAGACGACATCATGGACTGTGGAAGCGATGATACGCGACTGATAAGCTAGACTGCAAATCTCGTAGTTCTCGACGCCGTCACTTGGCTCAACAAATAAAGAAATAATCAAATTAAACGAGCATCGGCGACTAGATCTGCCGGTAGAAAAATAAAAGAGGGACGTGAAGAAGGGAACCTATTTCGTTGGTACGTACTTGTTGCTTCGCTGGCAGGAGGAACTCTTCGGGTAATAGCGCTAAGTCAGGTGCACGGTAAAATGGGGGTAATTTGATCAAATATTAACGGGCTACTCCTAACTTACCTAGCTCCACCACCCAAATATCAGTACCAATCTATCTCGCAGCTCTCCACTTTCTTACATCACGCTAATCTCCTTTTAGCCCAACAGGGCCGTCTGCCAAATCCTCGACGCTATCGAGCATCTAATTTGCGCGACTGGTTTCCCGTCTCGTCTCAGCTCTTCCCTCGTCTCGCTCGTCGACTTTGTCGCGATCCTTTTTCCACCCTCACATACCTCATCTTGCTTTTCTTCTCCCCCCCCCCTTATCTCTACGGCATAGGCACCGTTAGATTTGTCTACCTCTTATCAATTTTTACTGCCTGAAGCGCCATTGACGTTCTTCACGGCTCCTTTATTCTGCTGATTGAATTAAGCCCTGCAATTGACGGTACGTCCAAAGCCAAATCTACTACGGCCCGTTTCCGCCCAAGTCGAGCCCGCGTCTGGAAACGACCACCTTTCATCGCAATCGATCACTGACGCGACTTTTTATCCTTACACAGGCTCTACTATCTAATTTATCATCTTTTGCGCCCCGGTATACGAGCGCAAACACAGACGCCCGTCGCGATTACGGTTCGATTTGTCGATCTCCAAATTGGTCGTTTTGCGCATAAGCATCATACAAAATGGCCTCTCATCAGGAGCGCACCCTGCCTTCTAAGCACAATCCTCTCATGACAGAGGATGTCCCGGATTGTAAGCACTCCCAAGCTATTTCAGTGTCGCGAGATCGCAAGCTTACAATTGTTTCTAGACACGGATTTGGTCGCGCGTAGACGTCTCGGACAAACCAAGCTGACACCTAAGATGGCCGGCACTGGTGAAACTGAGCAGGCGGCTCTTGGCGTTTTCGATTATGCGCATCTCCGAGCCCCCCTTCCCAAGGGTATCGTCTCGGGCATCTTCAAGTCGAGCCCGAGTAGCTACTTCTTGATGCGACGCAGCTTCGACGGTTACGTCTCGGCGACCGGCATGTTTAAAGCGAGCTTCCCTTACGCTGAGGCATCCCATGAGGAGGCAGAGCGAAGGTACATCAAGTCTCTTCCTACTACGAGCCCCGAAGAGACTGCCGGCAACATTTGGATCCCTCCGGAGCAGGCTCTTGTCCTCGCCGAGGAGTACAAGATTGCTCCTTGGATTCGCGCGCTTCTCGATCCCGCCAAGATCACCGTGACCACAACTCCAGACTCTTCTTCGCCCAAGAAGAGCATTACCGCCCCTCCCAAGTTTGATCTTGCCAAGGCTTCGCATCCTGTGCTGGCACCCCCCACCCCTTCGATTATTCCTCGAAGCACTCGATCTCGTCGTTCTGCTAGCCCCACAAAGAGCACAAGGCGCGCCCCTGCCTCGCCTCGAAAGCGAAGCACCCGCGCCAAGGCCGAGACCATCGAGACGATCACTGAGAAGACCGATCTCGTAAATGGTGTGGCCGAGACCGAGGCCAAGCTCGAGGAGACCAAGCGGGAGGACATTGTCCTTCAATCGACAGAGTCCGAACCAGCTATCGTTCTGGAGCCTAGGGAAGAGGACCCCAAGGTCAAAGTGCACGTTGAGGAGGATATCGTGAAAGATGAGGACGGCGTGGAAATGAAGCGCACTATCACAGAAGTGGAGCTTCCTCTGCCCACAGCGGGCGAGCCTCCAACTGCCGAAGAGATTGCCCAGATGATGGAAGCAGCCAAGGAGATGGTCCAGAAGACCAAGGAGGTCGAAATCAAGGCCGACGAGGTCGATGAGGCCCCAGGTTCAGCCAAGAAGAGCAAGCGAAAGGCTGCAGATATTTCTGTTGGTGACAAGGAGACAGAAAAGACTTTAGAGGAGGCGCCTCGGTCGAAAAAGGTGAAGACCGAGACGGAACTAAGGAAAGAGAAGGTGAAGAACCGGGCGTTACTTGGCCTGGGTGCCACGGTTGCAGTTGGGTGAGTACAGATCTATCTTCTGCTGGAGAGTCAATGCTAACGTTTGACAGCGCGATTGTTCCTTGGCTTATGAACTTTATCTAAGCAATGAATTGTATGTCATGTCTTCGGAAAATAAACCCGGTCTTTTAGCAGGGACCTGAATAAAACCCACCACGACCATGGCTGAGATATGGGACGGGCGGACTGGATTGGATCGGCGCGGCAATTGTATTTCTTGGTTGTTTTTCTTCATTTTCGTCTTCTGTCGTTGTGTCTCGTTTTAACGGAATCACTACCCAATACTCACTCACCCTGCTGCTGTAATGAGATGTCGAGAGTGGCATCTCGTTGAGACGACACCCTTTCGATGTCTTTACTGCTGCTATTACTTACCATACCATACCACATCACTATACCATACCTTATCATACCATACCAACTTTGACCTTTCCTCTTTTTTTCTTTATCAACTTTTATTACCAAAAACTTACTTCCACCCCCCCTTTGCACATACCCCTTTGACCTGGGAGATACCAATACTAGAAGAGTTGGTAGAGACTTGGTCTTTTGCTTGATTGGTTCTGTTTGCTTAACTGGAGATTTCGGAACGACAGAGATGGAGATGGGCATGATGAGGGATGTCCATATGAGAGGGGATGGTAGAGTTGACTGTGTTGACTCTATAGGATTATGTATGAAGACGTTGAAGTAAAATAAAATGAAAACTTAATATGATAAATCGTATCTAAGTGAAACAAGTATGAAAGATTGGACAGGTCCTCAGTTATGATGAACATGTGGTGAGCATGCCCCAGGTTTTAGTGTATTTGCTCCCTGAATATCCCCGCAGCTCAGGTGCCTGCACAGGCTTCCCCGCATCGTCCCTCCGCCTTTTTACCCATTTGATCTCCAACTCGGTCATCGTGGCGTGTCATAGTGAGAGACTCCCCCGTAGATAAACTCGGTAGGTCTGGCTAAGTACGGTAATGGCCGGCTGTGATTCGGGTAACCATTCCCCCACACGCCAACCTCGAGTGAGACCCAGGGCATTTTGTCTGTTATTGTAATGATTTATTTCTTTGTATCTTGTCAAGCTTCTTATTTAATCTTATATACCTTGTTCCAAGTCAGACATTGGTTGTGATCTTGTCTAGTAAACTCGAACTGTTCATCGTCCTATACTCGGCTATCATGAGACCTTCAACACGGCTTGGAAGCTTGATGCTTCGTCGAGGCTTTGCAAGTTCGGCACGACGACTAGACAATTACGGCTTCATCGGTCTAGGACAAATGGTAATAATCTCCTTTCAAAGAATGGTTGTCAAATACTTACACAGAGAATAGGGTTATCAAATGGCAAAGAACCTCCAGTCAAAGCTGAAACCATCGGACAAGGTCTCCATCTTTGATATCAACCCTGAATCAATGAAGGGTCTAGAAACAGAGATGAAGGCTGCTTCAACGGGAGCTAAAGTTGAACTGGCCGCCAGCGCATTCGACGCCTCTAAAGATGCTGTAGGTGATCCCACTCACCGTGTTTGTAGCTGTCTCACTGACACATCTAGGACACAATCATCACTGTACTACCAGAGCCTCAGCACGTCAAGGGCGTATATGAATCCATCATCACTTCATCTCTCCCCAAAAAGGACCGCGTTTTTATCGACTGTTCAACCATTGACCCTTCCACTTCACGCCAGGTCGCCAAGACTGTGTCTTCTGCCGGGCAAGGCACATTCGTTGATGCGCCCATGTCTGGAGGTGTTGTTGGCGCAACTGCTGGAACGCTCACCTTTATGCTCGGTGCTTCACCCAACCTCATTCCTCGTCTCGAGCCCGTTCTTCTCCTCATGGGAAAGAAAGTACTTCACTGTGGTGACCAAGGGGCAGGTCTATCCGCCAAGTTGGCCAACAACTACCTCCTGGCTCTGAACAACATCGCTACCGCAGAAGCCATGAACTTGGGTATGCAATGGGGTCTGGATCCTAAGAAGCTAGCTGGTGTGATCAATGTCAGCACAGGACGGTGCTGGCCCAGTGAGGTCAACAACCCTGTTGCCGGCGTTGTAGAGACAGCACCAGCCAACAGAGATTATCGAGGAGGATTTGGGATATCTCTGATGAAGAAGGATCTGAGACTGGCTATGGTGGCTGCTGAGGAGGCTGGCGCGAGGATGGAGTTGGCAAAGACGGCGTTTGCAGTTTATGAAGCTGCTGAAAAGGAGGAAAAGTGCAAGGGACGGGACTTTTCTGTCGTATACCGATATTTGGGCGGTAAAGAGGAGCAGTCATGAAACAGTGACCTTGGAAGAAGAAAGGGGTGATGACGCATGGCTCGTACAAGTTGAGTTGGTGTTGTCAACTCGTCCATGCTCGCTCTTGAATAAAAGAATAGACCAAGAAAGAATAAATAAATCCATGACATGTGATAGTCACACTAAAAGGGCAATGTTAGTGTTACAGTAGAGATAAAGCTTGTAAGGTATCATCAGATCTAGGTATCCGTAGATCTCATCATGAAACATTGAATTACACCGTGAGAATCGGGTCGGCAGCATAAAACGATCCGAAGTCCTCAGCAACTAAAAAACTGCAGCAAAGGAGGGCGGCCGCCAAGTGTAATACACCTGCATAAACGCTACACGGACACGTTCCAGAAGCGGAAATGCCCTGTAAGCGAGCACCAGAATGCGAGGCCCGACGCGAGAAAAGCGAGATTTACGAGCCAAACAAGCATTTCCAACGTTGAAATAAGCGGATCTGCACCCGGGAATAGACATAACCGGGCCTTGGCACTCGCATCACCAACTGTTGACGAGCTAGTTCACTCGAATTTAACCTACGAATTAGTTGCTGTTACTGTATTTACAGTGGTTGATGTCCCGAACTCCGGGTGCTGGTCCCGTAAAACCCGGAGGAATTGGGTCAGGTCGTAATGAGAAAAATGAAGTGGATGGATCGAGTCAGCAACGATGGATCTTGTATGTACATACCGTAATCATATTCGGCCTATCTTTACACCTTCTTCCTCTCTTTCTTTCTTTGCCCTTCTTCTTCTCCCTCTCTTCTCGTCTTCTCTTCTGTTTCTGCTTCTTCATGAAACAAGGATCCTCTCATACAAGCGGGTCGCTTGAAACGAGTCCATAAGTCATCATCATCATACACAGACCAAGAGGCAAATACCAGTGACAATCACTGCCCTCTCTTCATTTACTTGGCATTTCTTCACCTTTCACATATCTAGCAATACACCGACATATCTTCAAAATGTACGAATTATACGCTCGTCGACCGGCAAGTTTCGACGACTGTACCGACATCACCGCCCTCTGTCCCGTCAGCGCAACTGTCCTTGGTTATGTTCCCAACAAAGGATCCAGTTACTTCTTTACCATCTGTTTTGCGATTCTGTTCCTATCCTCTGTAGGACTGGGTGTTTGGAAAAAGACATGGACATATGCTGCGACTCTTGGAGCTGGTTTACTGCTAGAGACGATTGGTATGACAGGAACTCACTAAAAGGAAGAGAAAGGATGATGAAATGCTAACAAGCTCAGGATATATCGGCCGTATTCAGATGGACCCTAACCCTTGGAACTCTTCAGCCTTCCAGACCCAAATCTGCTGTATCATCATCGCCCCGACCTTCATCTGCGCTGCCATCTACCTCACCCTCAAGCACGTCGCCCTCGCTCTCAGCCCAGATCTCTCACGAATTCACCCTCGATGGTATCCTCGCATCTTCCTCCCCGCCGACCTCTCATGTCTCATCATCCAAGCCATCGGTGGTGGTGTCGCAGCAGCAGCAAAGCGCAACCAGCCCGACCTCGCTAGGAACGGTAACAGGACCATCATTGCCGGTGTCGTCCTCCAGGTCATCGTGCTTCTCGCCTTTGGAGCCATGGGCACTGATTACTACCTGCGTGTGAAGAAGTATCTCAATAGCTCAGAGGCTGCCCCTGAGTCGCTGCGAGTCTGGCAGGACAAAAAGTTCCGCATGTTTGGCTTTGCTGTTTCGGGCGCCTATTTTGCCATTCTCACTCGTTGCATTTACCGGTTAGTGCAGAATCCTCATTTATCCTATCTTCTTACATCAGCTGACGCGAGAGATCATAGAATTGCCGAAATGGCCGGTGGTTGGGGTAATCATATTATGCAGGATGAGCCTAGCTTCCTCGTCCTCGATAGCTCCCTTGTTCTCGTCACTGGCTTCCTACTGACGGCCTTCCATCCTGGAATCTTCTTCCCTCAGATGGCTGTCACTATGCAGCGCACCAAGAAGACTGAGGCCGAGACACCCGCCGAATCTTCCAGCGAGGAACGAAAAGTTGAAAACTCCCAGACTGCTTAGAGGGATATGGAATAGATTATAATAGGATATATGAAGGGGGACTTATTGTTTGGTCTTGTTTGAACTAGGGCGCCAGGTAGTGGGACGATATTAGATCAGATCTTGTAGACTCAGATGAGTCCAAGTTGAGCGTGTCTTGATAATGCTTTCTATCGATATTAGGATTTGACCAGTCTATCGGCTTCTCCATCGTCATCGCTATCCGTCTCTTCTTCCTCGTCATCTTCTTCTTCCTCGTCGTCTTCCTCCTCCTCCGATGATTCCTCTTCTGTCTCTTCCTCCGTCTCCTCGCTTTCTTGCTCTTCTTCTGCAAGCCAGTCATCAAGAGTCTTGGCACCCACTGCTTCACCCGTGCCTGTCCCTGTGCCGTTTGACTTGCTAGGCATGACTGTCTTGGCCGCCTCATCGAGCCTCTCACTGGCAGGAAGTGTACTTCTTTCTACGTCGTACCTAGAACTTTGACTGCCTTCAGGTTCTCGAAGTCGGCGATCAGGCTGTTTTCCTTCCTCGACCCAGTCAGGCAAGGGTTCGTAGCCCCGAAGACCATGAATACCACCACCACCTGCAAGTACCAATGTGGAAGAACCCAAGAGGAATCCTTTTCGAGATTCTGATGGACTCGGGGCATGTGGTGCTGGCTTCTCAGCAAGGAGCATCAGCGTCGCCAGCTGGGGAACTGCAAGAAGTGATCGATACATTCTCGCGCGATCACGGAGATCGAATGATGTATCATATCTCACAAGTAGCAGGA